TATGGGTTAGGTAGATATGCTGGTTTTGGCTGGGGTAGAGTGAACTTTCTTCACAGTGGCTGATATGGGACTGTGTTTTAAATTTGTGCTGAACACAGGGTTGATAATAAAGAGATGTTTTTGTAATTGCTGAGCAGGCCTCTTCTGCTCTCTGTGCTGCCACACTGGCAAGGAGGTTGGGGGTGCATGGGAGGCTGGGAGAAGACACAGCCAGGACAGGTGACCTGACCAGTGGAATACTCCAGACCATATGACATCATGCTCAGTATATAAACCTGCGGGGAAGAAGGAGAAAGGAAGAGATGTTTGGAGTGATGGTGTTTGTCTTCCCAAGTCACCGTTACACACAGTGGGGCCCTGCTCTCCTGGAGATGGCTGAACACCTGCCCAACCACGGGAAGCACTGAATTAATTCCTTGGTTTTGCTTTGCTTGTGTGCATGGCTTTTGCTTTCCCTATTAAACTGTCTTTATCTCAACCCACGAGTTTTCCAGCTTTTACCCATCTGATTCTCCCCCTGATCCCACTGGTGGAGGAATGAGCGAGCAGCTGTGGGGGGCTTGGTGGCTGGCTGGGGCAAAACCACAACAGATCTCAACTTTTTTCCTTCATGGTTAACAAATTATATTTACTGTGTCTGGAAAAAGGTGTCCCAACTGGCTCTGTCCAGGTAATGATGACTTCCCAGCAGAGCTGGACTTGGTAGGAGTAAGTTTTGAAAAGCACTTCAAGAGATAGAAGGAGCATCTTTGAAAAGAAATGGAACTGACCAATTGGGAAAAGGTCAGCAGTACTTTTCCTTTGTGCAGGAACCAACTACCACTGCAGCTGTTTTCTTGCCTTGTGAGCATTTGCAAGATACTGTTCCCTGATTGGGGGAAGCTTGCCAGTAGTTGGAGCTGAATGCTGTAAAAGAAAACATGTTTATTTTAGTCTGTGTGAACTGGAAGGAGGAACTACTTCGAACTGTGTAAAAATTACTTGTTTCATGTCTATAACTTGGCAGCACAATGACTTGTGAATTTGGAATGTGAAACTGAGCTGAGGACTTCATTGCTGCAGGCTGAGAATTAGTTTTTGGATAAACCTTGCTACCTACTTCATGGATGAGTATTTGGTGCTTGCTTCAGAGAAGTTCTGGTTGCTTCTATGGGCTCAGGGCTATAGACAGTTTATAATTTTGTTTTTTCCATTTTGAGGTGCCTGTTTTCCTCTTTTTGATGAAGAGGTAATTGCACATTTAGCTCAAGTTGCACTGCCTTGTATTCTTTTTAAAGTAAACTCTGAGGTAATGGAAAGAACCCAGACTGCTGCAAATGAGAGCAGTTCTACTTCCCAGCCCCTGCCCCACCAAAGAAAGTTTAGTGTTCATCTCAACAGGACAATACTTTCTCTGCTGTCATCTGTTCCTTATATCTTGTTTGTCTGGAAATACTGCATTTGGAAAGGCAGCATTAGATTTCATTATTTCTTTCCTTGATTGTTCTTGAGAGCAAATAGTGCTGCCAACTGTGAGGTGGTGAGACACTGGGACAGGTTGCCTGGAGGGGTTGTGGATGTCCCATCCCTGGAAGTGCTTAAGGCCAGGTTGGATGAGGCTCTGAGCAACCTGGTCTAATGGCAGGTGTCCCTTTCTATGGCAGGGTTTTGGAACTACATGATCTTTAAGGTCCCTTTCAACCCAAACCATTCTATGATTCTTTCTGTGACTGTGGATTTTGTCGCAGTAGTATCTCTCCTCAAATAACAGATTTGAAACTGCAACGTATTCCACACAGCTGCAGTAGTGTTACCAGCAACAGCTGTCATGTTCTATGCTCAAATTCAGCCTTTGGTGCAAAAAAATGTGGGTCCCTGTAGCCAGTGTCTGTCCCAAGCCTCTGCCTGGACTCTGTAGGCCTGATTTATATGTCTGAGGCTCTGTAATGTAATCACTCCGGGACTTTTTTTAACCGGTAGCTGTGGAATAGCAGAAGTCAGCTTAGAAAGTTAGGGGCAGTACCTCTGATTAGTGTAAAGTAAAACATATGCTCCAGATGTCCAACAGGTAATTTTGAGAACGGAATTTAAATTGGTATTATTATTTTGATTGTTACTACTAGGATCTGCAGATTTGTGAACTACTTGGTGCTACAAAATGGAGATTGATGCACCCTAAACTGTAATCCACTCATCCATCATAAAGCTTCTGCTACAGACCCATTTAATTTCCAAACAGAAGAATTCATTATCTATCTCCAGGGAAATTAATTTTTCTTAATAATAAAGCATTAGTGTGTGCAATGAGCTATCAGAGAGCATTCTATGGCAAGCGCGTGAGGAAGCAGCTGTCTAGCATGCAGCTATGGAACTAAAGAATAAAGAATTTCCATGGGCAATACAGAAGTTCAAGGAATTATCTTTGTGGCCCCAGAGAGTTATCAAATACGGGTTCAGTTCATTGCCTTGCCAGAGGTTTGCTAAGGAGAGATATTGGTGTCCCAGGAAATCGATTTCGGTGGGACACCAGTAATCTGTGTAGTCACAGCCTGGATGCTATACCTTGTCCTCAGAGTGCTGAGCCTTCTGTAGGCAGTGTTAGCTCCTCCTTTAATTCAGACCTTGTGGTTAAAATGACCTGACACCAAATAAATCTGACTCTTCCAAAAACACATATGGACTCTAATGTATGTTTCCATGTGAATTCTGGCAGTGTAGCCAATTCAGGGTGTGCCCTTAAAGCAAAGTCACAGAAACGGCTTTCTGGAGTGGATTGCTAGTAACTCCTCAAAGCCTCCTGTCCTTTGTCGACCAGCATAAAACTGTTCATGGTGTTTCAGATGACAGGACAAAAGCTTTCTGTGTCCCTGTCAGACAAACAGATGCCAAAATTGAAGTTTCTGATTATATTCTTTAAAATACCTATTTTATGTGAATGAGGTATGGGAGATAATTCCTTTAGGAAGGCTGACAGGCAGTTGGCTGCTCTGTACAGTACTTTTCCAGTGTTGCCTAGAAGACTGAGGAGGAAAAAAGACTCTAGGCCAAATTAGGTAGGAGATAAGATAAGGGAGCAGAAGTTTTAATGAGCCTCCAGGCTCCAGGAATACAAACCCACGTGCGTGCCTTTGGACTCAGGTGTTACAATTTTATAATGATTTCCATCCAGTCCCCATACATCCATCCCCTGGTTCTGCCCCCCGATATGCCCCTTTGGGAATTGAGTCTTGGGGTGTTTGGGGGACCCCCTCTTCCTCATCTTCATCTTCTTTGCAGCATGTGCAGTCCTTAGAGCCCTTCCGAATCTCCAGGCTTGAAGGTTGTTGTGTCTATGTTTATATCTTCTGGAGCAGATTTTAAGGTGTTTTTCTACAATTCTGCCTTGGAAAGGAGACTAAACACACTAATGGAATTTAGGGGGATATGGAATGGAGTAATAGGGTTGGGTACATGTAAAAATTATGGTACAGGATAAGAGATGTAATACAACTACATTAAAATCTACATTCACTGTACAACTACTTCTAAAATCTAAAAAAAAAATTAAAATATCAAAAAAATCTAAGGCATCACCAGTATAAAAATAAACTGCAGATGTCTGACACAGATCTGTCAGGATACTTAACTTTGGGTTGGGGTTTGCCGATGTCATGTGCGTTTTGGAAGTTAAATCATAGAATCATAGAATAGATTGGGTTGGAAAAGACCTCCAAGATCATCAAGTCCAACCCCTGATCCAACTCCAATTACTATATCATGGCTCTAAGGGCCACATCCAATCTCTGCTTAAAAACCTCCAGGGATGGTGAATCCACCACCTCTCTGGGTAGGCTGTTCCAATTGCCTTGAAGGGAAAGAGGGAAGAGGTACATGGCAGCAAATACTGAGAAGCATGTCCTGTGTATGTCTAATGCATTCTGACCTGTGAACACTGTCCTTTTTGGTATTTTAAAAAAACCAACTGCTGTCATTAGTAGTGAACTGTGTCTCTTATGCAGTTTTGAGGACAGTTATTTGTAGGCAAAGGAGTTCAGCTGCCAGGTGATTTTCTACGTCTTGTAGAAATGTCCCAATAAGAGGGGAGTTTTGTATAGAACTTCACTGTTTTAACTGCACAGAGCATTATTTGTTTCATCAAAGCAGCACCGAGGAAGCAGAGGTAAGTTTGGACATGCAAAATCAAGTTCCAAGTTGGGCTTACTGAAGAGAATTTTTGTTGACAGATTGGTCCAAGTGTTTTGCCTCTGTGAATTGTTTTAAATCCTCTTTAACAGACCTGATGCATGGATTTATGTTGGTGATGTTTTGTTTGTCTTCAAAGCAACAGAGTAAGGCTGCCAGCTGTGAACTTTGTGAGCCTTGACAAATGGATGAGGTTGGATAGTTTAGTGAACACAGCGCTTACAGCTGTGTTTCATTGAATGCACTTAATGGCAGACATGACAGACTGATTCGTTCATTTTCATAGAGTAGCAACTGATTACATTTTCTCTTGGCTATGGTTCAGCTAAAGTTGCATTGTCCTGTTGCATTGTTTCATTTCTCAGCTACTAAGTCATTACTGTGGAAACAACTCTCCAGTTTGTTTGGGTTTTTTTGGTTGTGGGAGTGGATTGGGATTTTTTTGGTTGGGTTGTTTCTGTGTTTTCTTGGTAGGGGAGGGGATTGTGTTTTGGGTTTTGATTGTTGGGGTTTTTTTTGTTTTTTCAGGGCATGTGTACGTTGGGAAGAAATGAGGCAAGGCTAATTTTTGCTTACTTGTAATAATACAGAGGTTTTCTACAATTTTAGGATTCAATTCCAGGATCTTCTTCCTTTTTTCCCCACTTCTTCCACCCTGGCTTTATCATAATATTTAGTAGGAATTTGTCTTTATGCAAAATGAGCACAGCTGCACCCTGGAACATGTGAATTTTGGCCTTTTAAGACCCAGCAAAAATATGAATATTTTCAAAAGCTAAACTGAAGCATGTTTGGTTGATAGCTCAGTAATTTACATCTCTTATGATTTGATTGTCTAGGGAGGCAGCAGCAGCTGGAAGCTGAGGACCCATACGTGGAGGCTGATCAAGACCTTCACAGGAGGACGGAGCGTTCTGTGGAGCCGCCTAGGGAAAGACCTGGGGAGAGGCGAATGGCGGAAATGAAGAAACTGTACGGTGCTGATGCTGCCAAAATCCAGGCAATGGAGGCTGCCATGCAGCTTATCTTTGATAGGAACTGTGACAAAAAGCAGCCCAAATACTGGCCCATTATTCCCCTTAAGCTGTGAGTACCTGGACTCTGCTCTGGCATGGCACAGAACTGTGCCTCAGTCAGGTTGTTCTGCTGAAAGAACAAACTGCCAGTTTTGGTTTTGGATGGGCTTTGTGGCAGAATCTGGCAAGGGCAGCATATGTTTCTTTGGCCTTTGTTTCTTTTACACTGTCTGTCAGCGATGCTCACTGCCCATTCAACCCACATACAGTTGTCAAGCAGTAATTGGAGGGATGGGAATATCAAACCCGTCTTAAGTCAGACATTTACTCCTTTGATACGCACCTGCCTTGACCACACTTGCAAGAAACAACATCTATACTCAGTGAACTGGGAAAACTTAAAATGGTACAAATAAAGACTGTAGGAATTGTCTACTTTTACTGTTTAGGAATTTAACTGATCCCTTTTTTTAGTCTTAACATAGTACAATTTGGATCCTGTTTCACACAGCACAGCTTGAAGTGTTATGTCTGCTAATCTTGGGGTTTTTTTGAGGACCAGGAGCCCACTGGCCAAGATACAACTTATCAAATTACCGTAGCCCAGACATTCGAATTCTTTTTCAAAGGTTTATAATAACACAGGAAGTTTTTCTTCCAGACTGATACTCGTCTGGCAGAAGTTTGACTCTAAAGCAACATTATATGGAAAAATGTTTTAATGAAGGGGGTGGGAGGGTGGGACAGAAGCCTGATGTGGTCCTGTCTGTTAGAGATCTGTTTAGCAGAAGAGAAACTTAAGAGAACACATCATTATAGGGGACAGTGTGTGGAGTGATTTTTGCTACTCTAATAAAAAGCATCTGACGGGTTTGAAGCTTTACAGAAGGCAGCTTTATAGAAGGCTTATTATTTTGATAGACTACATCTGAACAATGTATATGGAGGTATGGAAGCTGGGTAGCCTTGCAGGCTATGTCTCTTCTAGGTGCAGCTTTCTAATGCCCACCTGCACATGACATGCACAAGACTTAAACACAAGCAGGTGGATGTGCCTCTGTGTGTACTCATCCATCTTCACAGGCTGTTTGGTTCCATAGCTGTCACTCTACTTTTGGTCAGTTGTGTTTGCCCTGCTAAGAGCTAACGAGGTGGAGTGAGGCACACAATTGGTCTGTGTAAGAGAGGCAGAACTGGCCCCTCAAAACCAGTGACTCCTTAAAAATCGGTACCCTGAATGCTTTCAAGGACTCTCGGTGAACCACTCCTGCTGCCTCTCATTGCGTGCTGAGGGGCTGCAGTTTGTTTCGCAGTGTTTCCATGCCAGGGCAAAGGAACCTTCTGCTCATTTAATAGTGACATATTCATCTGCCTTTCTGGCAGGAGGCGAAGGTCACAACTAAAATTCTAGCTTCAGTTTATTCCCAGTGTGTCCAGAGTATCTCCGTATCGTGTGTAGTTTGTAATGCACACCAGCCGTTGCTGTGCCCTCTGCAGCAGCCAGCTGCAACAAAGCAAGTCTGCAATGCAGTTTGAAATATCTTCGCTTTTACTAGTAGTTAATCTGTTTTTTCCAAGCAGCATTTCCATGTCAGTTCCACCTCCTTCACTTTGGAGGTGAGAAGATGAAGTTAAATTGAACACTGACGTTAAAAAGCCCCCAGTCTCCAAGACTTATTGTTGGTGTGGTTAATCTGAAAAATTTCAGTGAGACAGAAGAGGGAAAAGGGTTGTTGACAGTTGTTCATTTGTCTTCACTCTTGGTTTTGGTGGGTTTTGTCAAAAATTCTGTGTTTTGTTTGGGTTTCCTTTCATTGACCAAATAAATTTTCTTCATAGCACTTTGTAATTTACTGTTTTTTATAAACAAACTTCCATACTTAGACCACTTCAGTTCTCATATGCTAAAGCTTTCTTTTAGCTGCTGCATTGTTTAAGGAAGATTGAACTTAGAGCAAGAACAGTTTTAGCATATGGAGAAGCACAAGGAGCGGTGACAGGAGTTTTCACAGGAGTGCCAGTCAATATCACACATGGATGGTATTGTACAAAATGAATGGGAAGGTTGCTGCCTCCACGGGGGAAAACCCTGTCCCAGATTAACATACATAAATCTCTCTGTTCCCATTTGAAGTGTTTCCAGTGTGGTGATGGTGTTTTCCCTGTGCAGTTCAGTTCAGAAAAAAAGGAAGAATGGGTAGGACTGTTCTTGCTTTTTAGCACAGACCCCAGTTCTTACTGCGGTTTATTCTGCACTCAGCTGGTTCTTCTAGCAGAAGCAGAAATTCCTGTCTCCAAAAGTATTTGTAGACCTCATACAAGACAGCATTGAATTCCTTTCCTACTTCATATAAAATGTAAAAGAAATTTCCTTGCATTTGGTTCTTTTACCTATTTCTAAGAGGGTTTAATATACTTCACGAGGTTAGAAGCAGAGAGAACTGGATGAAGTGTTCCCTAGGAACTATATACTAAGGCCTGAAAGGGAGGAACGCACTACTGCAGACTTAAGAGTTACTGCCAAACGATGTCATTTCAGGGGAGGGGCTGTTGCTGGTATTTGGCCAGGTGTCCCATTTTGCTAATAATTCAGCAAAACTTGAAAATTCTTTGTTGCAGTTCTTTTACTCTGTCTCCCATGTCATTTTAAATTTTTAAGAAACGTCTCACATAAAAACGTGATCATGGAAGAAATGCAACAGCAACTCAAAAATGCCATTTCAGTCATCTGCAACATTCACCTTTCTTGCCCATATGTATTATGCTGCAGTCCTCAGTCATGGGAACAAGTACACTTTTTACCCCAAAGACACAATGTTACACCACCCTCTTGACTAGAATGCAACTGTGATGTTGCAGATCGGATTCTTTCTTGTCCAGAACACTGTACCTTTACTTTCAGTTGTGCCAACTGCTCATATAGTCCTGCCCAAAGCGAATTCTTCACTTGGTGGTGGTGCTGTTTCTCATGAGCTTTTCCCAGCTCCAGTAAAAGGAATTCCAGCCTGAAGTTACAACTTGTCATGCAGTTAGCCTTAATTTCAGAAACTGGTTTCCTCATTTGTTATGTGCAAAATCTGCAAATCAGCCTCATTTTCAGGAGAAGAGTTTGTGATTGGCTGAAATCACTTCAAAGATTGGAGAAAAATGTTATAGGTCTTTTCTAATGAAAGTGTTCTTAAAAGAAATTAAAAAAAAAAAAAAAACTTTCAGAACTGGCACAGTATAAATTTAACATACAAATGAAGAGATGACCTCTGTGTTTCCTACCAAAAGAAAAACTGCTTATTTTTATGCATTGGTGACATTGTCAAGAGCTCTTGTTCTTCTAAAATTGTTTCCCCATAAAGCAGGTGGTGGCTCAGTATGCCTGTGTGTGCAGGCAGCCTGAGAAGAGATTCAACCATTTTGCTGAGAGTAACTTTTCTCAATCAACATAATGGGTAAGTATTCATACCTTTTGACAGTGGTCTTGTTAATGACTTGTACTTGGAAGAAGCTTTAATAAAAACCAACCTAAATTTCTGTAACAGCCTTTGTGAAGGATAAACACTTACATAATCCACATGGATTTGTTCCCTTGTGTCTTTTTCTCTTTGTAAAAGCTCCTCACTCATTCATTGCATGAAATACATTGCAAATACTTGTATCTTCATCTATTGTTACACTAATAGCAATCCAACTCTGAATAGAAACTGGAAAAAGCAAGACACTGATTCAGCTGCTTAAATTTCAAGTTTGAAGTGTGATTTTTGGCATATTGGTCTGAACACTTTGGCTGAAAGAATTACAGAGGGGCCAAGATTATTGCCCAAAATGTGAAATACAGTCTGTCAAAAGGAAACATCCAGAACTCTGTTTTCCTTGTGGTTTCTTTAAAGTTTAAGCTCCTGGGAAGTATGCTATTTGATAAGTAATACATTCAAGCTGTGACAATTCTGTTTTCACATTTGTGTGCTAATTAATCAACTGCCTACCCTGTCTAACCTGTTGTCTCCCGTGCTCCTGTCTGGATAGTCCAAAGGAAAGAAACTCATATGGGCACTTCCCTAGGTAGAATAGCAACCCATGAGGGAATCTTTAACTGCTCCTGAAGGCTGGTTATAGCTGGAGTATGTTCAGAGCTTCACATCTCTTCATATATTCTCACACAGCTGGAGTTGCTGACATGAATAGACATGAATAGACTGTGCCATTGCCATCTGGGCATTGTCTTGGCAGCCTGGCTGTTGTAGCAGCAGAATTGCTGGGACTCAATCTTTGGAGTAGATGAGCACACAGACATCAACCTCAATTTCAACAGGGCAGGAGCAGCACAAAAGTCTTGCCTGGCCAAAAGTGGAGAAAGACTTGCTTGTCTTGAGCTTGCAGAGTGTAAATGAGATTCTCTGAGCATAGATTTTATTACACAGTCACAGAAGCTTGGGGTTTTTTTCCCTTTAATCATGAATCTTCATCTTCTAAGAAAGCAAACAAGCAGAGTAAGAACATACATAGTTTTTGAAAAGAAAATGCTTTTCAGTCTAATGATACCAGTATCACTGGTTCTCTAAACTGAGATCTTTTGCCTACAAAGCCTTTTGAAAAGCCAGAATATACATAACTGCCATCCCCATGACTTTACAGCCATCCCAAAGACATAGATACCTTTGTGGGGAGGAAGGGATGAGAAAAATGGAAGGGCTGGATAAGGGTTTTTTCCAAATAGAGTTAGAAGTGGTCCTCCTCAACTTTTACACTTTGTTTTAATAAAAGCAAGAGTTTCTCAACTTAATAAAGATGTGAGGCATAAGTGTATGAGAGGCTGTTAAAAATGAAGTTACATCACTGTCTTGGGATGTCCCTAAGCTGCACCTTACTGGAAATTAGGAAGGAGTAACAAAATACTGCTTTATTAATGGAGTTTTCTTATATTGTCCTCTAGACAGCTGCCATTGGGTAATGGCCTAGGAAGATAACTAGATTTCTGATCTGTTTATAGAGATGTTTAGAATCTTTCCACATGCTTATACTGAAGATCAAGACTGAAATACCAGGCTTGAGCTCCAGCTTTCAGTCATCTCATGCATCCTTTATTTCTAGATACAGGAATTGCTCCTGGGACTCAACTCCACCAAATTTTACTATCACTGAGGTCCAGAGGAGTCAAGTTGGAAGAGACTTAACTACTGTGCTGTTTATTTTAACCCAGTTTATTTGTTTTTTGGCCCAAGATTCAGTCAGCCCTTTTGGTCTAGACCTGTACAAGAATCCAGCAATAAAAAGTCTGTGCCGTGTGTTTAATTAGGTTTGATTCTCACATAGCTGTCTTAGTCCCATCCTTTGCACTGGACATTGTCTAGTTTCTGCTACCTCCAGCAATCACATCATCTAATACATTTCAGAAACTAATTAGGAAATTCCATTTCCTGTCACC